ACACACAGCACAGACACACACACACAGCACAGACACACACACAGCACAGACACACACGCACACAGCAGACACACACACAGCAGACACACAGCACAGACACACACACACAGCACAGACACACACACAGCACAGGCACAGACACACACAGCACAGACACACAGACACACACACAGCACAGACACACACGCACACACACACACACAACACAGACACACGCACACAGCACAGATACACACACAGCACAGACACACACAGCGCACACACACACAACACAGACACGCACACAGCACAGACACACAGCACAGACACACGCACACAGCACAGACACGCACACAGCACAAATACACACACAGCACAGACACACACAGCACACGCACACAGCACAGACACATGCACACAGCACACACAGCACAGACACACACAGCACAGACACACACGCACACAGCACAAACACACACATACAGCACAGCATAGATACACTCCTCACACGCACCCCCGCGGAGACACACTACACATATACACACACCCCACACACACTCCCCATACACATAAGGCACACATCACACACAAATACACCCCTACACATACACTACACCCAGACACACCATACACACACACACGCACATGCAGTCCTTACACACACACGCCACCAATACACCACGAACACAGACACACATGGAACACTCAACACACTCACACACACACACACACGCACATACACACATATTCACACACACGCACGCACATCTCCTCATCGTCCCATCTCCGTCACACGGCAGAATGGAAACGCTCTTCTGCCTGCAATTCGGCCGGTCCGCCCAGCGCTTTGCAAATGCCGCTCCCCTCTGGCGGCTGCCGCAGCTCCCGCCACCCTCTGCGCCGCCCACGCGGAACACAGGAGGCCGCGGGTGCCGTCCGAGTCCGAGACCACCAGCGTCTTCAGAGGGACGCACCAGCTTGGTTTCTCTCCGTTAGAAAGTGCTCCAAGCCACAGACCAACACACACACTGTGAAAGATCCAGCCACAAGAGCTTTTCGCGACGTCCGTTCCCTCCACACGGCCTCCCTTTCTCAGCTGATTTGGAGCCTTCGCCGCCCTAAGGTGCTCTGGGAGTTTACGAGATGTGAAATCTCTGCATTGGAAGAGCACGCCTAAGGGCTTTAAAGACTGCCCGCCTCGCCTGCGGTGGTAAACACCTTGTTTCTTGCACACAACAAGGAAATCAGCCCCGATTCAGAACAGAGCAGGAATGTTGTGTCCCAGCCCCCAGCCCCCAGCCCCCAGCCCGCCAGGTGGAATCTTGCCCAGGCTTGGTTGTATTAACGTTGATACTTTGTGCCGAGGGACGTGCAAAAACCCAGCAGCCACGGACCTTCGCAGCTGAACACGCAGCACCGCAAACCAGAGTAGCCTCGATGTCGTTAGTCTGGTCTAAAACACGAAACCCCACTAGAAGTTCCCAAAGGAACCACAGCCGTTATACACGACTTTTTATCGCAAGGATCATTTTAGAGTTTACATCATGTAAAGCTTTTCGTTTTTTCTAAAAAAAAAAAAAAAAACGAAAAAACTTGAATTAAATGAGAAATTAAACGTGTTTTGTTTCCACGCAAATAGGTAAGAATAAGCCCATTAATCTGTTGTAAGTGTCACTAAAGCACAAGTATAAAAAGTTTCAGACTAAAGAGTTGCTAATTTAGAGAAACGAACAGCAACACGGTACCCACCACTTGCAGGATGCTGGAGACACTTTCCCAGTTGGCTTCCACGATATTCGTGCCGCCGTCGACCATGCCTTGGTAGCCCTGGATGAGACAATAAACACACCAGTTAGACTCTGTTATCGTGTTAATGGATCCTTAGATCGTGGACGATGGAAATACAAATGACAACAAACGTTAAGTCCCTAAGCATCCAGCAGTCAGAAGTCACAGCAGCATGCAAGGGCTGAGTAGAAATATTATGAGAAAGCCTCTTAAATCTATTCCCTAATAATGGGAATTTCTACCCAGGCTCACCCAGGGAGTACAGTAAGGAATTCGTGGTTTGCCTGTGGCCCAAGGGTCCCTGAGAGACTGAGAAGAGATGTATTTACTCTGCATGTTTACAACTTAACACCAACTCACACGCACACTGTGCTGTCGACCACATCACCAGCACGAAAGTGTTTTGTCGGGGGCTCCATCTGCCAAGGCGACCCAGGCTACTTTAGATATATGTTAAATGCTTTTAAACAGCACAACTTAATAAATCACTCAGCCTTCCTCTCCAGTTAGTGGCATTTTACTGCATTGGTGACTTAGTTATCAACGCACCTTTGCCTGGGAGCCCAGGGACGGTGACCTTTCAACTCTGATTGTATCGCATTCCCCACCCTCTAAAGATACAAAATCAGGAAACGCAGAAATGTCCATTTGCATCTCTGTCTATGTAACTTACTTTCTATGACATTTAACCTTAACGAGGAATAGCTATTAAGCATTCATAAAAGCTGATCCTAGATTATTACAGTGGATTTATAACCTCACCTAGTGAAGGTCTGGAGAAAAGTAAGAAGGAAAAAAGTTTTTAAAAATGAAATGGCTCATTGATTACGAAGCTTTGTGGATAAATCGATCAACAGCAGGTATCTCTGTGGTCAGTTTGTATGCTTTTATAAGTGTAAATGTTCATGAAAAATGTTATATGTATGTGTGTGTTTGTGTGTGTGTATAATCTAGTCTTACATGTGATAAACAGGAAGGAAAAAGCAGCGTGGAATGGAACTGAGACAGGAACAGTCAAGCAGGTTCACTTTGGTCCCGAGGCCCCCGGCCCCCAGGCTGCCCACTCGCCGCTGTCCTCTTGGCCCCGAGGCTGCTGCGGGGACCACCGGAGTGGCCCGCTCCATAGTAATGCCACAGAGCATCTCCTAAACACACCCCGGTCTAACTCTAGGGATCACTTATCTTTTTATTAAAGGCCCCGTCTTTCCGAGACCCTTACAGAGAACAGACTTTTAGCAGATTCCCCTTAAATCGTGGAGCACGGTGTAGTCGTCCCCGTGGAGGGCGAGGGTGTCACGCGGGAAGGAGACTGATCCAGGTCCCCTCTGGTCAGAGCCACCGTCTGCGTCCCGTCCTGGTGTGCACGGTCTGCGCCCACCAGGGGCCACACCAGGCGCAAGGCACCACCCACATCCCCGCACCCTCCTCCCCTAAGGGGCTCCTATTCCTACAGAATATTAAAGGAGGTAGGTGGGTGGGTAGATGGATGGGTGGATGGATAACAGCCGAGCCTCAGGGCTGCACCTCGAATTATCTCCACCGCCCCCGGCTCCCAGGCTTCTGCCAAGAATCACGCTTCATTCTGTGTGCGCCACGACAGCCATTCTCGAGACACAAGCACGACATTTAACCATCTACCACTCGTGGCAGTCCTGACCCTACAAGTTCGTTTCCAGCAAGCCTGAGAGGCGGGGAGACCACGCGGCAGGCACGTGGGTCTGAGAGCCAGACGCCACACCGATGGGTCTGAGAGGGACCCCAGCTGGAGGGAGGCGTCTCCTCCGAAAACACGTCCGAGAAAGAGGCGGGGGCGGCAGCCACAGACCAGCACCCGCCGGCGCAGGCGGCACGCAGACCCACCGGCTCCCACGCCCGCAGCCGGCGGTAGCTCCCGTGCGTTCATTCGGTCGTCAGGTAAATAAAGAGGCTTCAGGAGAGGAGGTCGTCTCGGCCACTGCTCTGCCCAAGAGGAGACTGAGCTCCCTAAAGCGTCTCACAGCCCGGGGACTGCGCCAGCCACGCGCTCAACGGCAGCAGCTTCCAGACCATTCCTGGGGCGTGTGACATCACGGACGCGCTCCGTGGCGGCCGCCACACGCCATCTCGCCGCGTGCTGCATTAGCAGGGACAGAAGAATTTCCTTCCTCCTTGTTCGCAGGATTTAAATACTGATCTAACAAAACGTTGGCTTTCTTTTCTACGATTCTCCCTGCTGCTAGAGTGAGAACATGGACCAGTTCGACAAACCATAGCACACGTTGTGAAAAGCAAAATGATTTCTAGAAATAACTGGATTATTTTGTGGAGCGTAGATACACATGGCGGGGGAAGCAATTGAAAACCTAACAGTGAAGATTGTATCAGTGGCCCATTCAACGCTCTCCTCAAGACACACGTGCTGAGCTGCTGGGAAATGACTCACTCTTTAACTTGCAAAGTCATTACGGCCACGTCACATCTGAACAGTGACTACCAACGGCAGTTTTCAGCCGCCTTTTACTAACAAGGAGGATGGTGCTAAATTAGGAGGACTAATTTTACCCAAATGTACTATAATGTTTAAGCTCGGATGAGCTTTTTTCTATTGAAGTCTCCTTGGAAGGCTGAACACTCATTATAATACAGCCGAAGCCCAAACATTTTCTAAAATTCCCTTTTGGAATTTGCCTTCCAAACCAGTGTTATGACTCACGTAAGAAAACAAACCATAAAGCCTGTAAATCTATGCTCAGTCTTTGACGAAGATAACACCGTCTGTCTTGTTGATCCTGATTCCTGAGGGGAACCTAAGAGCTCCCTGTGGGGCTGGGTCAGATCCCTCGTCCGGCAGAGTGTTTACCTCGAGTCGTTTGACCCCATCTGAGAACAAGCCACAGGCCGTGAGGTCATTTTAGCTTCTTGTCTGAAATGGCCTTGAACAATGTCAAAATAAGCATGACGGCCTCCTAACTGACTACGTGGGAGACAGCACTAGACTTAGGGGTGGCTCTGCCCAGATTTTCAGGCATTTGTTGAATCTGTTCTAAATGGGGTTAAGAGCCAGTGCACCCGTCAGTAGCTCTTTCTCCTGTGAGACCCCGTATGTGTTTTTTAAAATTGAAGAGCCAAAGGGAAATCATAGTCTCATGTTATAGAAAAGTAACATTTCTTTTAGAATGCTTCTTCCGTGGGTCCGTATGTCTTCTCAACCGGGGGTTGCTTTTTTCCAGTCTGATTTCCCGAATTCTTTGTTTCTTCCCCCACATTTCTTCCATAGCTTTTATTGACAGCACAGAAGGTCTCTACTGCACAGGGTAATTATTGCTCTTGATAAAAATTACACTTCAGCTTGCAACTCTGCAAATTTCCTGAATTCTTCAGTCAACAACTAACCGTGCAAATGGTAAATGTTCCAACCACCAGAAGAAAACGAGCTACCAAAGGTAACACACTTCAGAAGTATTTTCTAGATCTTGTTATCACCTACTTCCTAGGGATATAGTTACTGCATTAAGGGGTTTATCTATGGGCTTTTCTGCTCCTGAGTAAATAAACTTTTCTTTGTTTTCCCTAGAATCAAGGTTTCCCTCGTTTATTCTGCAATAATCTAAAGCACTTATAGAACTCAGAGCAAGTGTGTAGAGCAGTCAGCCCCGGACAGCTGTCTAGGCTTAGATTTAGTAAACACCATCGTTCAAAACGAGGTGTCCGTGGTAAATGGGTGGCAGAATGTTCTGCCAATGGCTCTCAAAGGTCAGGAATTGTGACTTTATTTCACACAAGACATTCGCATGTGGAACCTGAGGTTATTAGTTCCTCCCCCACACCCAGAGCCCTGTCCCCTCCCTGGCAGGGCCCTGAGGGATGAGCCCACGCAGGGAAGTCACAGTCACCCGCACAAGCATGCTCACTGGTTCGGTTATTCACAGAAAATTCCCATGGAGCAGCCTGAGGATTTGTCCCTGGTGAGGTCTGGTCACCTCTAAAATTCTAAGAGAGGTCAGAACATGACAAGCCATTGTGTAGTCCTGCACCGGGTCCTTTGGAAAACCAGTTAATACGGCAACATGAGTTCTCTAGCTCTTGGGCATTCTTAGATTTCCTTCAGCCAAAGCCAAGAGCACGTAATTCCAGGTAACAGGTACAATCGGTAGTCACAGCAGGGACAGGGCAAGTCACCCTTCCCAGTCAGAGGGAGGCCCCCGAGCTCCCGTGCAGGGGCGCAGACCCCCCGGGGCTCACCCAGCCTTCACCTAGGCGGGAGGGGGCTCGTGGTCTTCGCAACTTGAAATGTGACCGTCACCAGATTGCCGGATGCCACAGGCAAGACGTGAATGGTTGTGCGGGTTAAGTCAGAGTCGCGGGTGAAGAATTTAGCGTGGATCTGACATAGAGTGAGCGAGCGACACAAGATGATGCTCACTCCTGCAACTACCGTCACGCCCCAGATGTGCGCGGGCCAGCGTTCCGGGGAGAAGGCAGGAATGCGGGGAGATCCTCACGAATCAGCCTTTTGTGAACTGACCCCAGTGCCCCGGCCAACTGGGCGAGCGTGCACAGTTAGTGGGAGGGCCCGGGCCTGGGAGGTTGGGCATGAACGGGGCAGGACCTGCGCGGAGATGCCGTCAACCGCACGCTCAGGCATCGCTGCTCTCAGACAGACACGTAGGGGTCGAGTAGTTTCGACTTCAAGAAGCTAAAATGGCCGGGCGCGGTGGCTCACGCCTGTAATCCTAGCACTCTGGGAGGCCAAGGCAGGTGGATTACTTGAGCTTAGGAGTTTGAGACCAGCCTGAGCAAGAGCGAAACCCCGTCTCTACTAAAAATAGAAAGAAATTAGCTGGATGATTAAAATATATATATATAAAAAAAATTAGCCGGGCATGGTGGCGCATGCCTGTAGTCCCAGCTACTCGGGAGGCTGAGGCAGGAGGATCGCTTGAGCCCAGGAGTCTGAGGTTGCTGTGAGCTAGGCTGATGCCACGGCACTCTAGCCCGGGCAAGAGAGCAAGACTCTGTTTCAAAAAAAAAAAAAGAAGTTAAAATGCAGAAATAGTCAC